GTCCCCCTGGCCCTGACACCTCCTCACCCTGCGGCTTCTACAACCCCGACCCCCAAGGCCTGGTCACCTTCCCCACCCACCTCTTCAGCTTGCTCTCAGGAGTGGTGAGTGCCTGGGTCCCTGGGAGACCCCACCACCACCACCCCCCCGAGCCTGGGTGCCCCACCCTCCATTGCCTAGCCCCACGGTGACCTTTCTTTTGGCAGGGTTTTCTAGAATGGTCTCCTCTCTTCTATGGGTTCTACCCACCCCGCCGACACCTAGCGGTCGCCTACCTGTGCTCCGTCTTTGTCATTGGCCTTCTGCACCTGGTGCTCATCCTCCACCGGTCAGTGACACCTGGGACCCCGGGGAGGGAGTCGTGGTGCTAGCAGACCCCTCCCCAAGAATCCGGAGTCTCCCTCCGTGATCCTTTTCTCTCAGTTGGAGTTGAAATCACACTTAAAAACGTTTCATTCGTGCTAAAGACCAGTGACAAATTGGGAAGCTTCTCCTTCCCATGGCTTCAGAGTCCAGAGCGGGAAGGTAAGATCTTAACCACACAAATTTAACGACATCTTTTCTGGAGGGGAGCATGCTTTGTAGGAAACAAACGGGTGATTCACTCGTTCCGGCAACAGCTGTTTATTAAGCACCTACTACGTGTCGGCTGCCGTGGTTCTAGACACAAACAGAAACCAGACAGAGTCCTGTCCTGGGGGAGCTGACAGTTTACCAGGGGGAGACAGGTGATAAGTAATAAGCCGTAAGTGAGTCAACGACACGGTGCGTTAGAAGGTGACGGGGGCTCCGGACACAGATGCAGCAGGTGAGGCGGGCCGTCGGTGAGAATGCGCCAGGCTGCTGCATTTAGGGGTCCCCCAGGGATGCCTGGATGAGGCGAGATGTTTAAATAAAGGCGTTGAGGGGGTGAGGGGTCTGGTCAGAGAAATACCCGGGGAATGAGCACTGCAGGCAGAGAGCACAGCCAGAGCAAGGCAGGAGCAGGGATGCGTGGCGGAGGGTGCACGGGGAGCTGGGGAGAGCCACGGGGGATGCGCCCCACTCCGTAAACGATGTGGCTGCTCTCCAAGCGCCAGGGGACTCACTGCAGGCTCTTGAGCAGATCACCCCATCTGATTTAGGTTTCAAAAGGCTTCCTCTCTGGCTCTGTGGTGGACGGAGGAGGGAGAAGGGGGGCAAGAAGGAGAGAAGGGAGGAGAGTCGGGGATGCGCAAGCAGCAGGTGCAACAGTGACGGGGCTGTGGCGATAATCCAGGCAAGAGACAGTGGTGGTTTGCTCCGGGGTGGTGGCAGGGGTCAATTTTGGATCTCTTTCTCCCCTTCCTTCCTCCCTTCCTCCCTCCCTTCCTTCCTATTGAATTTCTAGCCTCCCCCCTCAGCTTTCTTGAGATATCATTGACCTAAATCACACTGCGTAAGTTTAAGGTGTTCAAGGTGCTGATTTGATACATTTATGTGTTGCAACGTGATTCCCACCCTGGCATTAGGTGACGCCTGCACGTCTTTACATTATCATGTCTTTATTTATCTTGAGAGAGAGTGCGCGCGCGCAGGCCGCAGTGGGCCAGGGGCAGAGAGACGGTGGGGGGCGGAGGATCTGAAGGGGGCTCTGAGCTGTCAGCACAGAAAACGTGGGGCTCGAACCCACGGACCGTGAGATCATGACCTGAGCCAAAATCAAGAGTCGGGGGATCAAACGACTGAGCCACCCAGGCACCCCTCTACATTTTTCACTTTAAAAATATCACACATATCCAGAAACATGCAGAAACCAGAGGGTAGGGCTTGGTATGTTCCCATGAATATCAAGAAATGGAACATGGGGTGCCCGGGTGGCTCAGTCCGGCGTCCGGCTTCGGCTCAGGTCACACAGTCTCATGGTTCGTGGGTTCGAGCCCCGCGTCGGGTTCGAGCCTGGAGCCTGTTTTGGATTCTGTGTCTCCTTCTCCCTCTGCCCCTCCCCTGCTCACTCTCTCTCTTTCTCTCAAAAATAAACATTAAAAGTTTTTTTAACTTGAAAAAAAAAGAAAAGAAATGGAACCTGACCAGCCTCCAGAAGCCCCTCAAGATCTCTTCAAGCTCTCACGTTTCTCCCCCAACTCCCCCCCCC